CTCAGAGAGATGTCCAAGCTCCCCAATCTGTAGCTTAGAAAGTCTCTGCAGGCAGTAAGTTGGGAGAATTGCTGAGCTCACCTTGTTTGGTTCTTGCCTCTGTGTATTACTGTCCTTAATTGCCTGATGCCTAATGCCATGAAAATTGTTGTTTCATATATTTTGTTCTTTTTCTTAAAAAGTTGTTTCAGTAGGCTAGGTAAATCTAGTCTCTTTTATTCCATCTTGGCTGGAAGCTGAAGTCTTAGATTGCCTATCGTCTTCTTATTGATTCTAGGAGTATTTAATATATTCCAATTACAAACCTTTTGACAAATATATGTATTAAAATATCATCTTCCTGTCTGTGACTTGTTCTTGTACTCTCTTAAACATAGATTTTGATTGAAAGATATTCTCAATTTTAATGTTGTCCAATATATCACTTTTTCATTTTAGGGTTAGTGATTTGTGTCTGTTTACCTTTCCCAAAATTAAGAAGATAGTTTTCCGTGTTTTTGTTTTGTTTAGAAACTTTCTAGTTTTTTTTAACTTTAACTTTTAAAGCTAAAATCTATCTGGCATTGATTTTTGTGTATGTTGTGAGATAGGGATCAAAATTCATTTTCTTATATGAATATCTAATTGACCCAGGACCACTTACTGAGAAGTTTATCACTTCCCTACTGTACTTCAGTGTCAACTCTGTCATTAATTTAATGACTATATATGTATGGGTCTGTTTCTTGGCTACCTGTATATATTAACTTCAGCCTGATAAATGGCATTGATCTGAAGCAATCACTTCATAATTTTAAGTTTAAAAGAAAATTGAGTTAAGTAAACGTAAGTTTTTACTTAGTAGAATATTATTGATCATCCAAAATAGAGAACATGCAATTTAAAAAGTATGATAAGGTAATTATTACATTAAAAAACTCTATGGCCAGGCACAGTGGCCCATGCCTATAATCCTAGCACTCTGGGAGGCCAAAGTGGGAGGATCACTTAAAGTCAGGAACTCAAGACTAGCCTCAGCAAGAGTTCCTACTGAAAATAGAAAAATTAGCCAGGTGTCATGGCATGCACTTGTAGTCCTAGCTACTCAGGAGGCTAAGGTAGAAAGACCTCTTGAGCCCAGGAGTTTGAGGTTTCACTGAGCTACGATGATGCCACTGTACTACATCTGGGGCGACAGAACAAGACTCTCTTAAAAAACAAAAACATCAAAACTATTATATATAATGTTTTCATGTCACAATCACAAAGGGATTTTAGTTTACATTTTCAAATAAAAACTGTCTTTTATCCCACTTAGTAATCTAAAGTTTGAAATGATAGGTTAGATATAAAATTATGCAACTCAGGGAGTGATACGATGATGTGCTTACATTTACCATAATTTACCCTATAATGATTGTACTTGAAATATTCTAAAAACACTATTTTAGTTCTTCGTCAAAAGATGAAAGACCAGTTTTCATTATACCTGTATAAATCTTATTCCAAGGATATTTTCATTCTGAGACTTAAACACAACTTCCTCAGAAATGTTTAGATGTGTGAAAATTTCAACTTTTAAAGTTTAGGTAGGACCTTTGGGGGGTGATTACGTTATCAAGGCTCTGCCTCATAAATGGTATTAGTGTCCTTAGAAAAGAGGCCCGAGAGAGCTTGTTTGTCCTTTTTGCCATATGAACATGAGACAAGACGATGCCATCTATGAGGAACAGGCTCTCACCAGACACTAAATCTGCTGGCACCTTGATCTTCGAACTTACAGACTCCAGAACTGTGAGGAATAAATGTCTGTTGTTTATCAATTACCCAATCTAAGGTATTTTGTTATAGTGGTCTCAATGGACTAAGACAGAAATTGATACCGAGAAGTGGGGTGCTGCTCTAACAAATACCTAAAAATGTGGAAGTGGCTTTGTAACTGGGTAATGGATAGAGGCTGGAAGAATTTGGAGGTGCATGATAACAAAAACCTATATTGCCACAAACAGAGCATTAAGAGTGATTCTGGTGAAGTCTCAGAAAGAGAATTGTACAGGAAGCCTCACTCTTCCCTGCTTCCCACGTTCTGGCACTCTTCAAATGCCCCAGGTGTGGCTCAAGTGAACCCAGGTGTGGCATCCTCTAAAGGATACTGGCAGTAAACCATCCATGCAGTGCCATCTCCATGGGTGCACAGAGTGCATGAGCTGTGGGGGCGTGGCTGTCTCCACCTGGATTTCAACAGTTGCCCCAGCGAGCACTGGGGCCCAGGCAGACAACTGCCGCAGGAGCAGGACCACCTCAGATAGCCCTCATGAAGGAACTGAGGACAATGCCTAGTGGGGCTATGGGGGTGTGACCACCACAGAGAGCCCCCAGTAAGGCACTGCCCAGCAGAGCTGTGGCATTGGAGCCACCCCCTGAGGCCCTAGAATGGTAGAGTGACCAGCATGCCATTCCAGCCCAGAAGAGCTAAAAGGCATGTGACTCCAATCCTGTGAGAGTAGCAGTGTGGCCCACGCCCAGCAATGCCATGGGGCCTTAGGGACCCAACCCCTACCCCAGTATGTCCAGAGGTGGATACAGAGTAAAACAGTCAACAGAGATTATTCTCAAGTCTTATGATTTAATGTTCTTTACCCTGCTGCATTTTGAACTTGGGATCTGCTACTCCTTTTTTCTTTCTTGTTGCTTCCTTTTGAAATGAGAATGTCTATCCTATGCCTGACTCAACATTGTATTTAGGAAGTACATAACTTGTTAGATTTCATAGGCTTATAGCTGGAGGGAAATTTGTTTGAAAACGAATCCTACCTTGAGTCTCACCCATCTTTGATTTAGATGACATTTAGATAAGACTTTGAATTAGACTTTAAAGTTGATGGAAAAAATGGAAAACAAATTTGATGATTTATTTTTATTTGGAGGACTTGCGGTGTGATCTATGTTCACATACTTAAAAAGACTCGCTTTGGATTGTTAGCTGACATAAAAATTATACTTGCTTATGTTCTAAAAAGCCTTAAAAACTAAGAAAACAATGAATAGCAAAACCCTCCAACATCTAATATGGACCTGACATTTGAAATTCTATCATTGCTAATTTTCATTAAAATTCTACAAAATCAGCATTGTCATTCTCATTTCACATATCAGTAATCTGTAACTCAAAGACATTATATCATTTGCCCAAGATCATAACTTCTAAATCGATGACCTGAGAACTGAATCTAAATCTGGAAGAAGCTTAGCCTTTGTGATACCCGCCAAAAGATGAAGGTCTCTAAACCCCAATGGGAGCCAGGTTTGGTTTTTTTTTTTATGTATTTTCTATTATTGATGCTCTTTACATAAGCTGAAGATAGCTTTCGATTACCAGCTTTATTTTCTGATAATAAATTATTGGGTTACTTAAATAAATTACTTGTATTTTCAAGGTATTCTCTGACACTGACAAGAATAATGGCGATAGTAACGTAATGGAGAGATACTGAATGATGAAGCCTATTCATAATAGAGCAATGGGGGTATCTCTTGCCAATGTTCTAACTTTGAGACTGGAGCTTGCACAATTCAGCAACCCCCTACTTCCCATCTAATGGCTCTTTCCTAACTACCTTCACATTCCCAGGCGTCTCCATTTGGGCTCACCATGAAGGGATCCTCTTACTTTTCATTCTTATGGTTATTTCCTTTATCCATCCACAAAACAAATCTTATTCTCCTCTCTTTCTTTACAAGCTCTTTCCAGGCTCTGGCTACATACCTCCTCACAGAAAAGCCCCCTCCTCCTGCCCAATTATTCTTTCACCTTACTGTGCTGATTTCCCTCAAGGCACACATTTCTCACTATCAGTAGTTTTGTTGACCTTTCTTTGCTTACTGTCCTATGCCACCACCTCCTCCATGCATTCAGGGACCTCTGTCTTGTCACCACCCAGCATCAGATTTCTTACTACAATTACGTAACATTTTCAAACTCCGAGGAACTCTAGAATATGAATGCTGTGTCAACAAGAAAATGCCTGAGGTTATTTTTTCCAGAAATGCTCATTTATCTCCTCATATTTTTAGTACTTTTACCTGATTATTTATATTATCTCCTAAAATTATTTTGGGGCTTTGTTTCTCATAAATAAATTGGAAAAGATATTTATTTCATGTTCAACTTAGGACCAGGTATGATAATTGTCAAACACATGACTAGGCAAGTAGAACGAGGGCATTCAGTTAGTTACCCTTTTAAGTCCAACATCCCCAAGGGTAGACTTTAAACAAATAAGAAGTGGAGGAAGTAGGCAACAAATAGAGGCAGTGTGAGACTTTAAAATGTCCCAGAGATAGACCCAACCAAATCGTTTGGCCCCACTGTGCGCTCTCTCCGCTCTGACAGGACTGTTCCAGGGACCAGCCCCCGCCAACCCTAGTGGGTCCCCCTGTGTCCCTCCTCCAGGCTGGTCGCCATGGCGCGCTCCCCCGCGCCCGCGCCCGCCCGGTCCCGGCCCTTCAGTCTCGCGCAGCGGGACCGGAGGGGTCGTGGTCTCCCTCTGCGCCGTCTTGCTTTTCCAGCTGTCAAACAGAGAAAAGCCCAGAAACTCCTGCTTTCGTGCACAGTACTAACTCCGCGCTGACACCCGGGCTGAGTCAAGATGGCAAACCCTGGACTGAATACTCGAGCGTCCCTCGCTCCTCCCGGCTCCCGAGCCCCGGCGGCGCTGCCCTGGCCGAGGCCTCCGCCGCCGCGCCCGGCTCGGGGCTGGCTGGGGGCCGCCGGAGGACCCCGCTCCCGCCTCCCGAACTACAGATCCCAGGGTGCCTCTCGGACTCGCGCTCCCTCCGTCTCGCGCTCCCTCCCTCCGCCCGTCTCCTCCTCCCCCAGCCCTTGTTGTTTTGGCTGGAAGCGCTCCGGAGTTTCAGAGAAAGTCTGGGCAGAAACCGGAGCCGGCCCGAACGTGGGAAGGGGAGGAGGAAAGGGAGGAAGAGGGAGCCCGGAGGCCGGGAGAGGGAGGGATCCGGGCCAGGGGCCGGGCCGCTCAGAACCTGCCGCGCGCCCGGGGTGGGGGAGGCGGCGGAGGAGGAGCGCGAGGGGACGGGACAGTGGGGTCCCTCCCAGGAGCAGAGCCGCCCAGCGCCTCGTTCCTCCGCTCCCGCCCTCTCGGCGGCCGCGCCAGCGGACCCACCCTCCGGCCAGACCCGAGACCTCCCTGCGCCCGCCGTCCAGCGACGCCCCGCGCTGCGCCGCCGACCCGGCGGCTCCCTCCCCGCCCGGGACCCGCTCCGCGCCCGCCGTCCGGGGGAGCCTCGCGGCTTCCCCTTTCCCCTCCGCTTCTCGCGCGCCGCGGAGACCTGACCCGCCCTCCCCCGAGGAGAGGGAAGGAGAGGATTCGCACCGAAACCGAGAGCGGGCGAGCGGGAGCCGGCGCCGCGCGAGGGCATTGTGTGTGCGTGCGTGTGCCGCGCGCTGTCTCTTTCGGAGAGCGCACTGTGGAGGTCCTGTCCCTAGGGGGCGGAGCGCGAGGGACCGAGGCTGAGGCTCCGGCTCCGCGTCCAGGCAAAGTCCCGCGGAGTCCGAGCGCTGCAGCAGAGGCGGCCGGCAGGACCGCGCGCCTGGAGGCGAGGCGGGCGCCCCGAAGGGAGGCCGGCGCGCCCTCGGCCCCCCGGCGGCCCCAGCTGCCGTCTGTTCAGACCCGCGGGGGAGAGGCTCGAACTCGCGGAGTCAGCACGCCGCGGAGCCTGCCCGCCCCGTCGGCCCGGGGTGCGCGACCCGTAGAGCGAAGTCCTCGCCACAGCGCGCCCGGCAGGCATCGGCTGTTGTCGGGAGCGCGCCCGCCGCCCCTCCGCTGCCCGGCCGGGAGCCCGAGAGGCGCGCACCATGAGCGGCGGCGAAGTGGTCTGCTCGGGATGGCTGCGCAAGTCCCCCCCGGAGAAGAAGTTGAAGCGTTATGTAAGTAAAGCCTCGGCCGCCGCTCCGCGGGCCTTTTGCGTCCACACCCCTCCGGAGCGGCCGGCTCGCGCGCGGGGCCAGTTCTCCAACTAGTCCCCGGCCCCTTCCCCTGGGCCCCCTCCCCGGCAGGCTGGGGACCGGGTGCCGTGCACTCACGCCCTGGCCGGACGACTAACTTTCTTCCTGCAGATTCCATATGGCCTCCTTCGCGGGCCCGCTCGCCCCACGGGACGGCCCAGATGTGCAGCTAAACGCCCGCTGCGTGTTTTTCTTATTCCTTTTAGAAGGGGTGGGGGGGTGCCATGGAAAGCGTAGTCTTCTCCCTTCTTTATATCTGCGTCTATTTATTACGGGCTGCTGCGTGCCGAGTTTCCCGCACGAGGAGCACCGCCGAGGCTTTTTTAGAACTCTCCAGCCCTGCCTTTGGTCCACGCTCCCTGCCCCCTGCCCCGCGAGCTGGGCTGCGGGGAGCCGGCGGGCTGTGGACCTGAAAGAAAAGTTATTACGCGCCCTGCCGTTTGCTTGGCAGGGTTCGCATTTTCGCGGTTTTGAATTGAGGGACACATTGGAGTTTGGCCCGAGAGCCGTGGCGGTTGGCTGCGAGAGGAGGGCGCTGGGGGGAGCCTGGTGGCTGGTGTTTGGGCGCCCTGGACGTGCTGTCAAGCCCCGCTGGAAGGGAGAGCTGAAGCCAGAAGGAATTTCTGTCGTGGTCCTTTCCCAGGGCACCAGAGTGGCTTACATGGTGTTTGTGTAATTGATACAAGATGCTGATTATGCGCTAACCCGTTTTTAGCTGTTAGGAAAAATATTCCTTGAAAGAGACGACCTCGCTTTAGTGGAAACCTGTGCCCTCCTCAGGGGGTCTGGGATTTTATTCCCATTCCCCATTGGTTCTTTTGTCGCTGCCCCCTGCAAAGGAAAGAAATGACGCTTTTGTCCTGGTATCTGGAACAAATATTTTTTCTAGTGAAACAAGTTCCCCAAAGCAAAATTTATGCCCTCTTAAGTATAAATTTACTACCTGTGCTAATGGAACCCGTTTCTTGTTGAAAGATATCCACAACCTTTATTAGAGCTCAGGTTAATCCTGTTAGTCACTGTTTGCTTGCATAGAATAGAACGAAGTACAATATTTAACTTCACTGACAACTCACCGGTGAATTTCTGATTTACTTTCTGCCAGAATTTATTATAGGCAAGTAATTTCATTGGAGGACTTGCTGCCACAAATCATAAGAAAGCTCTCCAGAGATGTTGAATCTTTCCAAATCCTGTCTCTCCATCTGTCACAGTTTACCTGAATCTCCCGGTACAGGTGCTAACTTTATTCCAAAAATACTAGAGGAAGTGGTTTTTAGCTCTTAGTTCTAAAAAGGTTGTGTGTATGTGAGCGAGAAAGAAGAGGGTAGAGAGAAAGATATGTTTGTTTTGAGAAGGTACAGTTTAGGAAATGCATAGAACTAAGTTATTGGGTGTTGGGGAACTAAAGAACATTTGCTGAACCAGACAGTGATAGTAGAGGTTTAATGCATTCTTTCACATGGTGAGTTTATGTCTTACTCAGAAGACACCAGCACTGTATTAGGCACCACCGATAAGATTAGAAAATACAGTAGGAAAAATGTCCCCGCCTCTTGGGCTTGAAATTTAATGTAATATTAACCAGGAAGAAAATCAACAAAAAAGATTATGTCTTAACAAGGACTAAATAAATAAATAAATAAGAAAGTCTCATTTGGCCATTATAGCCGTTTTCTGAGGTAGGTTTTACCTCTGTTTTACAGAAGGGAAAAGAGGCTACATAACATGTGAGAGGCAGGATTTGAACCCAGATCTTCCTGACTGACTAGACTCTAAAAGGTTAATGACTCTAATGTAGTTCCTTGCAAATGTGGGGCTCCGACTAGGTCATCTTTAAAGGTCCCTTCAGATTATAACCTATGAGTCTATGAATGAATATTAGTTGAAAATACAAGGAGGAGGTGGGCTGTGGATCAGACACACAGCGCTAAAGACACATTAAGACCTGGTCTTTGCCTTCAAGTAGCTTTTTGAGTCTTTGGGACCATGAGACAAGCACATGTGAAAAAGTCAGCCAACAGTGCAGAGTGGCTTATGACTGTGTACTCAAGTTGAGTGATTCGGATATTTTATGGCTGTTTTGAGGAACAAGCTCAGTGTAGACTGAAACCATGGGAACACTTAAAGGAGAGACATGGGATCCCTAAATTGTTTTCCACAGGGGGAAGCATATGCCTAACAGCTTGGGGAAAGCCAGGGCTTTTCTTGCCTGGTGTTTTCTACACTGTAGAAAGCACTAGTGTTTTCTTTACACACTAGTGGAGTAGATGGAGATGGCCCAGGAAGACAGTAGACAGGGTGGCTGTCAGAATTAAGCGAGCTGGTGGGAAGATGTTATAAGTTAAGTGAGGCTTACCTTATATTTGAGCTGTTGAGTTGGTTGCCCAGAAAATTCTGACATCCCCAAATTATTGACCTTTTGGCTTTGGCATCCATTTTAGATTGTTTTTGCTAAAGCAGCTTTGACCATCGGTGATATAGGCATGTATAAGTGCCTTTCCTATGCTTGTTTTCTTTTCATGTAGAATCTTTATTTTCTGGGTGAAAGGAAAGATTGTTGGCCACCCAATAGGCAAAATGTTGCTGGATAATGATTTTTTAATGAATGGATTTGCTGTGAAAAGATATTTTGGATGCTGGGTACTATAATTACTAAATGAGACTTCAGGGAGTTTGAGCATTGTGATTCTATTGGGAAATATTTGGCCCATGGGAATTTGACAGTTGTCTTGCTGTTTATAATATTTATAGGGTAGCCCAAACACTGATTAAGATGATCCTTAAGGGCTTTTAAGTGGCAAAAAATTGTTTTAGTTTTATCTTTAAGGCCATCTCAAATTATGGCCCCCAGTGAATTCCATTTACAACTCCATTTTATGTTTGCTGTTTCATAGTCAACACAAGCAGCATTGTTTTCTTTCCACACTAGTGTGTTGATCTGGTATGGAAGCCTTTCTTGAATTTCCCCTAAAGACAGTGAAAGTGCCATAAAATTTTTTAAAAAGTGAGACAATGACTAAAATAGTGAGTAGATTCCCAGCCTTTTCTACTCTTTTTAATTTTTTCTAGATTTGCAAAAGGGTAATAAGGACTCTTGTATGTGGTTCATTCTCTGTAAAGCCTTTTTTTTTTTTTTTTGAGACAGAGTCTCACTCTGTTGCCCAGGCTAGAGTGCCGTGGCGTCAACCTAGCTCACAGCAACCTCAAACTCCTGGGTTCAAGCAATCCTCCTGCCTCAGCCTCCCGAGTAGCTGGGACTACAGGCATGCGCCACCATGCCCGGCTAACTTTTTCTATATATATTAGTTAGTCAATTAATTTCTTTCTGTTTATAGTAGAGACAGGGTCTCGCTCTTGCTCAGGCTGACCTTGAGCAATCCGCCCGCCTCTTCCTCCCAGAGTGCTAGGATTACACCGTGCCCGGCCTCTGTAAAGCTTTTAAATGCTACTTAAAATGGAGGTAAAAATTTTTATGTTTCTTTTCAGTTTTGCTACTGCAGTGTTGCTGGTTTTTTCATCCTGTGTTGTATATTAAACAGCTGCTTTTTTACTTTGGTAAGGACCTGGAGTAGAATCATATACAGATCACTGTTACTAGGGTTACAGAAAATAAGTAAACTCTTGGTAGTATGCACTCAAGAGTGGTGCTCAGATTTTTAAAGAATTATTTAAAGAAATAATAATGGAATTTACATCAGAACTTGAAATTTGAGCTGAAATAAAATGTAAGTCTGTAAACAAAGGATTGCTTCAAGCCAGCTGGCTACCACCATAGCTCTGCAGGAGGAGCTTCCCTATGGCCTGCCTCAAGCCAAACATCAAGTGTGGGCTCCTGCATGGGCCGGCTGTCAGCGTTGGGCAGGTGTGCAATCTCAGCAGGAGAACCTGCTTCTGAGGCCAGAGCAAGGTGTCCTATTAGCCAACAGCCAGCTGGGGAGCAAGACCACAGCCAGTTCTTGGGTGGGTAATCTGTACCCAGCTTGGGCTCTGTTTGCTCTGCAGCTGTCAGTTAACAGGACAGTTCTTGTCTGGACTTCGAGAACACACTCCTGGTTCTGGAAATGGGCCTAGAAACAGAAATAGTCTCTCCTCCTGGGTGGGCACCTGACATCTGACATGGAGGAGGCGGGTGTGGGCAGGCAGAGTATCAGCATCTCCTTGGTTCAAGGACAGCCCAGGACCTGTCCTAAGCATGAAGTCCCAGCTCAACAGTGTCACTACAACAAAGAGGACTGTGATGTCTGGAAGCTCTTCCTGGCTTTTTATGGCAATTACCACTAGCAATCAATGCATTCTGCAGCTTTTGCTTACAGTGACTGAATGAGCATAATTCTGTTGAAGAAATTTTTTTTCTTGCATTCTTCATATTAGTAAACAGATGGTTCAAATTCCTAATGTTTTCTTATTACCTCTTCAAGTATGGCAGGAATGTTGTTTCTGTTAGCAACGTTTATCAACTAGCAATTACATTAAGCCTTTATGATAGTTAATTTATTTGTTATGCCTGAGCCTAATGATAAGTACAAAACTCTCCATGTTAAACTTGCAGAGCCTCTAAATCTGATTGTTGGTGTTTGGGATTCAAAATTACCATTGGGGGAAGGTATTGCAGTTTGGAGGGTAGTTTTAGAATTCTGGTTTTTTAAAAAATTTTTTGTTAAAAGAATATCTTTGAACAATAATGTGGCAAGAGTTATACTTGGATAGCCTGCTTGGCAGCCAATTGGTTATTTAAGTGTATTTTGCCATAATAACTCTGCTTAAGAAGTACGTAAGGAATAAGTAAAATTCCATATCTTAGAGTCAACACAAAATATGTTCATAAGGTCTTGATAATTGCAGATTGAGA